CGACAGGCCCGGCCTTAACCCACGTGAGATCCCACGACCACCTATGTCCCAGCGCGTTAGGTGCCGGCCCGCCACCTTCCCCCGACTCCCTCTCCCAGAGCATTCTTCTCTTACGAGCCTCTCTTTCTTCAGTCGCCGACATGCAGCTCTTTGTCCGCGCCCAGGAGCTACACACCCTCGAGGTGACCGGCCAGGAGACGGTCGCCCAGATCAAGGTAAGGCTACGTGGTGCTTCCTGGGCCCCATCCTCTTATGTTTTTCATTCTCCAACCCGCCCCCCCCCCGCGGAAACGCTGATGAGTCTTATATTTCCCCGTAGGCTCATGTAGCCTCCCTGGAGGGCATCGCTCCAGAAGATCAAGTCGTGCTCCTGGCAGGCACGCCCCTGGAGGATGAGGCTACCCTAGGCCATTGTGGAGTGGAGGCTCTGACCACCCTGGAAGTAGCTGGCCGCATGCTTGGAGGTGAGTTGGGGAGCATTGTTCTTCGAAATGTTTGTAAGCTCATAATGAGTGTGGGGTGTGAAGTTCAGTGTCCTCAACCCAGGGTGGTTCTTCCTGTTTACCTTGTTCATTAAGAGGTCCATGGGAGACTGAGCCAGAGCTTAGTTCTGTTTCAGTTATTTACTAGCCCCTTGTTTGCTCACTAAGATCAAGCCAAACTAGATTCCCCAAGGTGCTCTTCCGTTTTTGTTTAAAGTCAGGGGCTGGAAAATCCTGAAGTGAAATCCTGAAACGTACCATACTAAACACTCTTGGGTCAGAGGTCATATCTCTGTAACTTTGTTCTCATTCTCTGTTGGTCCCTATTTATCTTTAAAGGCTTGAGTTGAGGGAGAAGGGATTCTACTGGGTGGGGCCTTCTTGCTCTCCTGTTTTCTGACCTCCTTTCCCACCGCAGGTAAAGTCCATGGCTCTCTGGCCCGTGCTGGGAAAGTAAGAGGGCAGACTCCCAAGGTAGGTGAGAGTACTAATGGTGGTGTTTAGACTTTGGGTTTTTGTTTTTTTGTGTGAGGGTTTTGTTTTGTTTGTTTGTTTTTAAGCTAAGCCAAGACCTCTGGTCTTTGCTCTATTTACCTTCTCCCTCCCTGGAGTTAAGACTGAGGGAAGGCATGGGAGGTCTGATCATCCCACCCTTTCCCCAGGTGGCCAAACAGGAGAAAAAGAAGAAGAAGACAGGTCGAGCCAAGCGGCGGATGCAGTACAACCGGCGCTTTGTCAACGTTGTGCCCACTTTTGGCAAGAAGAAGGGCCCCAATGCCAACTCTTAAGTCCATTGTAATCCTGGCTCTCCCCAATAAAGCCATTTAATTCAGTCATCTCACTGTTTCATCTTCACGTGCAGAGCCTTGGGAAGATACACAGCTTCTAGGGCCGGTGGTGTGTTCATTCGAACAGTGAGGCCTGGTTCTGGTTTCTTGGCCCAGTCAGGTTGGAAGAGGCAGGGGCCCTCAGCTGGGATGGAGAAGGCGTGGTAAACTACAAGAAAAGGCTTAGCATGAAAATTGGTAACCCCAGATGGTAACTCTTCAGATGGAGAGTTGGGGAAATTTCCAGTCTAAATAACTTGATAATTCTCCCAAATCCTTTTTGTTTTTGTTCCTTTTTTTTTTTTTAAGATTTATTTGAGAGAGTGGGGGAGGGGCAGAGGACAAGAATCTTAGCAGACCCTCCACTGAGCGTGGGGTTCCACACAGGGCTCCATCTCAAAGATCTGAGCTGAAACCAAGAGTCAGATCTTTAACCAAATAAGCCATCCAGGTGCCTTGTTCTTGTTCTTTAAACAGAGAAGATAAGAATCCTCTGTGGGAGGATCAGTAGGCATCAGTAGAGAAGTCTTGAGTAGAAGATGTTATCAAGGAAGGCCAGTCGGACCCTTCCTGAACTTCGAACCAGCTATGGCCTTAGTGGATTCCAAGGTAGAGGTCTAGTATGTCCCTACTCTGGAAAGTGGGGCGACCCTATTGGTGAGGTCAGCGGTGCCGGCCCTGAAAGAATTCACCCAAGGCAGAACAAAGGAGATGGAAGTTTATTGAATACACTGCAAGGGAGCAGAGGAGAGACTGTCCGCCAAGAGGCAGTGGGGGGGGGGGCTGTAGTTAAGAGGGAGGGGAAGGAGATAGGGGAACATGTGGAACTTTACTTTTTTTTAGTTCCTGTGCCTGCTTGTAAGCAGCCCATTGGTCAGCAAGGGCTTATGGCTCTTCTGAGGTGGGTTTCCTGATGGACCTGTTTGCGTTCAGCCGGGTGGTTGCTATGGGCCCTTCTACCTTACTCGGGCTTCCATTGCCCAAGCCTGTTGCCTAAAAGTGGCCCTACAGAAAGCATTGCCTGATTACATTGGCATTTGTGGTAACCTTGTTTGCACCTTAACCTAATCATAGTTCAGGTTGGTGGGTTGGTTGGTTGGGTGTTCCTAGGAGTGGAATTCTCGGACTGATTGAAGGTTCCCCTAGCAACATGGGTACCCACTCGTTTTGCGAAGGTTTTTGAACCCGCTGATTCTTGGAAAACAGTATAACATGAAGTAAAGACCTTGGATCTAGACTTGGACTGCCTTAAGTTTGAATCCTTGCTTCATTTATTTTCTCACTTTCCAACCTTAAAATTATTTAATTTCTGCCATCATGTTTCTGAGAGTTGCTGTGAAGAATAAATAAAGGATGTGAAGTTCTTAGATCAGCACCTGCCACATAGTGTGCAAACATATAGGCTATTTTTATCTCTAGTAATCTTTTAAGAAAAAGACAGTCACCTCCTTTCTAGGCGTTTTGATTCTCGTGGGTTAAGTGCAGAAGCTAGTTAAGTGTTAGAGCCTCAAAGAAAGTAAGCAGGGTGTTGTAATGAAAGAGGGGTGGTTGGGGATGGACATAATACCCTAGGGAAGGTCTCTAAAGATGGGATGCATGAGGCCTGAAACTTATCAAATAGATGACGAAAGAGGTCCAGCCCAGAGAACTGTGTGCAAAGCTGTGTGGTTTTGTCAGACCTGGACGGGAGTTCAGGTTTGAGTCCAAGTGCAATGGAGGGTCACCAAGTACAGGGAAGGGTTTAAGCAAGGGCCTGATGTGATCTGACTTGTGATCCAGTGCTTTCTCTGGCTGGTTTTTCTGGACAACTAGCAAGAAAGTTAGGGAACCGGTTAAGGGACTAGTAGCTGAGGCCACCGGTAGTAATGGGGATGTAAAAAATGAGCGGACTTAAAGGTCATCAAATCCATCCAGATCTTGATAGGGAAGTAGATGATCCATATGGAGATAAATACAAGGTATTGTGAAAGCAGAACTTCCTAGGAGTGGGTCTAAAGAACCAGAGCTCACTTTTGTGGGTGCCATAGGTCAAGTCCTCGGGGCCCTTGGCACGGTGTGTGTGGGTTATCACCCCCACTCTATCATAAACCAAGCTCCATTAGGACAGGGATCCCATCTCTTTGCTTCTCAATGTGTTTTTGGCACCTAGTATGGATTCTGCACTTTAAAGTTGGATGAACCATAGATTTGGAGGGGAAATAAAATAGGAGCTCAGATATCAGTTAAACGTTGCTTTCTTCTCAAGAGGGGAAATGCCTCCAACACACACATAAACAGAGACTAGGCCAGGTAGTCCATCTTCACCCTTTTTCTACACTCCCCTTTGTCTGTGTCCCCTAGTAGAATGACTGCCCTTCCAGTGCAGGGATACATCTCATCCCCCATGGGCCTGGCCCAATTAGGGGCCTAGAGTAGGTGCTTCTCTAAGATCGATTTCCGTCAGGAGGCTCTATCGTGCTAAAAAGGGAACCACTAGGGGGCGAGCTGGTACCAGCGGAGCCCCGGCCTGGGGCACTCGCCCTCCCTCTCTCACCGCGCAGGGTCGGGGGGGGCCTGTGGGTCCCGACCGGCTCCTGCGCCTGCTCCAGCGCCATTTGGCAGAGGGGTGGGGCTTGGCTTCCGAGTGTGGGCGGAAGTTGCCGAGAGTCCTCGGAAGCTTTGAGTACGCTCCGTTGGCCTCACGAGGAGGCGGAAGTAGCCGATTAGCACAGGAAGTTGTCCAGCACTGCCTGTGAGTGTTCGCAAGCAGCGCGGGGCGCCGGTTGTCATGGAGCCGGCCGGGCCCTGTGGTTTTTGCCCGGCCGGGGAGGCCCAGCCCGCGCGCTACACCTGCCCTCGCTGTAATGTGCCCTACTGCTCGCTGCGCTGCTACCGGGCGCATGGCACCTGCGCCGAAGCCTTCTACCGGGACCAGGTGCTGGGAGAGCTCCGCGGCCGCAGCGCCTCGCCCAGCCGCCTGGCCAGCGCCCTACGGCGGCTGCGTCAGCAACGCGAGACCGAGGACGACCCGGAGGACGCCGGCCTTAGCCCTGGCCCGGCGCCAGGCGGCCTCACCAGGCTCTGGGAGCTGCTGGCCCCGGCCGAGAAGGCGGCCTTCGAGCGGCTGCTGAGCCGTGGTGAGGCCGGGCGGCTGCTGCCCCCGTGGCGGCCGTGGTGGTGGGGCCGCGGGGCCGGGTCGCGGCTTCTGGAAGAGGTGGATGATGCTGCGGACCGTGACCCTGCGGAGCTGGAGCCCACCCCCGCGAGGACGTCACCGGAACCCGTGAAGGAGGCCGCCGCCGAGCCGTTTCTCGAAGACGCTCCCGTGGCCCGCGCGCCCACCGTGCCCACCCGGATCCCCACGCTGGCCAGCCTGAGCCGCAGCCCGGCCTCGCCGCTTGTGCGCTTCCAGCTGCCCAACGTGCTCTTCTCCTACGCGCACACTCTTGCCTTGTATCACGGCGGCGACGATGCGCTGCTCTCAGACTTCTGTGCCACGCTGCTCGGCGTTTCCGGAGCCCTGGGTGCGCAGCAGGTCTTCGCCTCTGCCGAGGAAGCCCTGCAGGCCGCCGCCCAGGTGCTCGAAGCAGGCGAGCATCCGCCTGGGCCCCTGGGCACACGGGGTGCCATGCGCGAAGCTGCCCGCATCCTGATGGGCGAAGGCCCGGCCGACCAGAAAGGCTACACGCTGGCAGCACTGGGGCACCTGGCGCAGACCCTGGGCCGGGCTCGGAAGCAAGCTGTGGCCACGGAAGAGCGAGATCGCCTCTACCGGGCGCGGAAGAAGTGCCAGTTCCTACTGGCTTGGACCAATGAAAATGAGCTGGCCCTCCCACCCCTGGCTCTGGACTGTGCCAGGGCCCATCGAGCCCACGCTGTGGTGGCCGAGGAGGTGGCAGCCCTCACCGGGGAGCTGGAGCGGCTTTGGGGAGGCTCCCTGCCACCTGCTCCAAGAATTCTCATTGAGGAACTGCCTGGCTGAACTGGGATCCCTCTGTCATTAATAAAGCTGTGACTGGTCTGCCCTATGAGCAGTGCCTGCTTCTGAGGAACAGCTGTCGTTCTCCCCCCGGCCCCCAACCCCAGACTCTCGGGCCCACAAGCCACCTCTCAGCTTGTCCTGGGTCAGAGCTGACCCAGCCAGTTTTTAAACACCCTAGCCCCAGAAAGGGAGGGAAGTGGTACCATGGGTTCCAGATGTTTATCCAGGAGGAAGAGCAAGCCCCTCCACTCCCATTTTGGGGCACTGGCTGCATCTCTCCTTGCTCCAGAGCACGTCCCTGAGGCTGTTGGTCCCTGCTTGCTGGAGCTCAGAGCAGGGTGGGGCCCAGGCTCCCCGGCCGGCCACGCTGACGGGTGGGGGGGGCACCTGCCCCAGTCTGGGCTGAGTGGAGCCGCTTCAGTAGACGTAGGGCAGGATTCGGTAAGGCACGCGCCGGCAGTACTCGTGCCAGGCCAGGCCGTACTTCCGCAGGCACTGCTGCTCGTCCCGGGCCTCCCGGTGCACCAGCAGTGCCGTGAAGTAGAGGAGGTAGAAGTAGGGCAGCAGGTGAGACACTCCTGTGGGGAAGTGGAGGCTGTGACCGCCCAGCAACTCCCCAGTTCACAAAGGTTTCTGCATTGAATGGCTCACAGGGACACTGGGGCTCTGGTGAAAGGTCCGGGTCTGCAGCAAGGTGTTGGCTCCACGAGGCTGGCGGGGAAGTCTACCCCCAGCCACTCACTGAGTCCATTCCCAGCTCCCTGACTGCTCCCTCCACTAGGCTGCATCCCCGTTCTCCATTCCACACCCAGATGGGGCATCCTGTGGTCACCACCTCTGTCCCTCACGTACACGCGGTCCCCGTCCTGTGCCCTCCCAAGCCACTCACCACAGGGCAAGGACCAGGCCAGAGCCATGATGAGGTCTCCAAGGTAGTTGGGATGGCGGACCACACCCCACCACCCAGACACCAGCAGCTGCCGCCCCGTGGCTGTGGGGATGGTCTCAAGGCCTGAGGAAAGACAGGGAGTGGGGTGGGGGACCTGGAGGAAGCCCGGCTGCACCACCTCACTCATGGCACCCTAGAAACCCAGCTCACCAGCCACTCTGGGGTCAGAAGGATTCTTTCGGAAGGTGTTCTTCTGGGAATTGGCTCCCCGGAAGATGTAGTAACCAACAGCTAGGGGAAAGCATGAGCAAGTGGTCAGGGTTGAGGTTTAGAGCCTTCTACTTGACCCTGACCATCCACCCACAGCCCACTTGGCCTGGAGACCTAGGACCCAGTCCTTCCCCCCGCCCAACCCCCACCCCTGTGTTAGAGGAGCGCCTGAGGCTTAGTACCTACCTGATGCTGAATAAACAGAACATGAATGAATGAAAGGGGGAGGAGCCCCCTCCTGACTGACCATTGATGAGGCAGATGACTGAGGCCATGGGCAACCCCAGGGGCTGCGGGTGGTGGAGCAGAAACTGGGCCTGCAGGCTGTAAGTGAAGGGTACCCAGGCCAGGTCCCCAAAGGCCAGCATGAAGCCAAACCCGTCGTGTGTGATGTCCATGGTGGTGAGAACAGCCTCCTGCAAGGGTGGGACCCAGACACACCTGCCGAGTTCCCATGAGGTCCTCAAATGCCCTCCCTGCCTCTTCGCCCAGTCCAGCCTCACCTCATGCCAGAGAGCATCACCCACATAGAGTAGCTGGAAGCCATTGACCAGCCACATGGCCAGGGAGGGACTCCCCCGAAGTTCTGCTTCCTGCATCAGCAGGGCCAGGTTGATGAGGACCTGGGGACATGGGAGAGGGAGGACAGGGCAGTCTGTCCCCAGCCCGCCTCCAAAGCCTCCTTTCCCCCACCCCATGTGGAAAATGGAGATAATCATGGACCTGCCTCATGGAGCTTGTCTGGGGACTTGTTGACATAGTGCATGGGCAGCACGAAGCATGATGTGTCTGGCATATAATAAATACTCACTTGTGTGAGTAAACCCATTCTGGTAGCACTGGGTTGATGCTGTGATTAATGTTACCACTTCTAACCCTCACAAGAACCTTCGCAGGAAGTTCTGACTTTATCCCATTTCACACATGGGGAAATCGCCTTGGGGGCCAGGGTGCAGATCCATGGTGGACACTTGGCCTCCTCTCTCCTCTAGTTTCCAGGGTGACATGAGGGACCTTGCCCAAGAGACCCCTTGGGAAATCGTGACCACAGTCCAGTATGGGTGACGGGTGATTATAACCCAAACCCACAGTTGGCATGTCCTCGAGGCCACTAGTGATGGACAGCTTGCTTGCCCAATGATCAGTCTCAAGTCCTGCACCGCTAGAACCAGCAGGCAGCATAGCATCAGCCTCTCCTGTCCTCAGAATAGAATAGATTTTGAGCTTGATTTATTTAAAGTTGCACCTGCTCACCTAATTCCCTCCATGCTTTTTCTCCCTAGCACGTAGCACCGCTGCCATGCTACGTATATTTCACTTATGTTTTGTCTGTCTTTCCTAGAATGTATGCTCCATGAGGACAGAGTTTTGTTTTTTGTTTTTGTTTTTGTTTTTCTTTCCTATAAATTTTTTTCTCTTTTGTCTCCTTGTATCTAGAATAGTGCCCAGGACACTCAACAAATATTTGTGGGATGAATGATTAATGGTTTACATCTGCACAATAGTGGCCCTGCCCTGCCCTGCCCAAGCACTGCTTAGGCATCCCACCCCTCCTCCTGGCCCACATAGACATGCCCACCATACCCAGCCGATGAGGCCAGGTCGCAGTTCACAGAAATATTTGAAGTCGAAGGACCAGATGCGCGGGTTGAGCTCCCGTCCCAGGAAGAAGTCATAGATGGGATTGCCTGGAGAATAACGGAGGCTGAAGATGCAAGTGAGCACCCCCATCTGCTTCTGTCTGCACCCTACTGGGACCCCTCTCACCTGAGTTCCCCCCAGGGGCCAGGGCCGAGGCAGGGGCCACCAGGGCCTTCAGATAGAGAAGGAGGCTGAAGATGAAGGCGGTGAGGGTGGCCGCAAAGGCCAAGGGCAGGAGCATTTCCGGGAGCGCCCCCAGAGGCAGCCCGGCAGACACAGCCAAGCCCACCAACAGGGCTGTCAGCACCAGGGCCTGGAAGCCTGAACCACAGTACACAACGAATCCTGGGGGCTGCGCCCCTACACCTCTGCCCCTCCCCTTCACTCCCCCCTCACCCTGCCCCCTGCAATACACACACACAGTCCAAAGCCCAAGGAGGTCAATGGCCCTGCCCCTGGGTCACCCCAACCACTGCTCTGGTGCATAGAGTAAGAGCAAATGCTGCGGGTAGGTGTGGAGGAACAAGGGACTTGGAGAGGGACAGTGAGATTCCCCCAAGGCTACCCTGCGCACAGAGCGTAAAACAGGCATCTGACGGAGCTTGGGGTTGGGGGCTCATCTCCACTGGGCCTAGAGCTCCATCCCCACCCGCACAACTCTAGCGCAGGGATGCATCCCCGCCCCCGCGTCCATGCACCGTTAATGGGGTAGCGCAGGCGACTCTTGTCCTTCAATTCCTGTCCCTCGGCCACCTGCAGGCACAAAGGGGCTTTGATAAGGGGTGCGAGTGTCTTCTCCCCAGCGGAGCCCCCTCCCTCCGCCCGCCTCCCCCGCGAGCCGAGTCCACACCTTGCGCGCCGGCAATAGGTAGAGAGCCGCCTGAAGGCCGAGCCAGGTGAACCACAGCAGCAGCATCTGCGGGCTCCACAGCACTTCGGGTCCCGGCAGGTAGGGGGGTGGGCCGAGGAGGCGCGCGGGGCCCGAGCGGGCCACCAGGAGCAGGTGGAACATGGTGGCAGGAAGCAGCAGCATCAGCGCCGCCGCGCCTGGGGACCGGGGGCGATCGCGTCGGGCGTCGGCTCCGCAGCTGCCCTCCGACACCAAGCCCCCCCACCCCGCCCCGCCCAGGCGCCCTGTCGTCTCCAGGCCCCCTCAGCATTCCCACTGCCCTCTTCCATATCCCGTTCTCAGCCCTCAGCCCCTTCCCTGACTTCCATCTTGGGCCCCGCCCCCTCTCCCTCGCCAAAGATCCTCCTCCTGCTCTTGGTACAATCCTCCACTCCACAATCCGGTGCTGTGCAGCCCCCTCCCCAGACAGTACCTCGCAACCCCCAGATCCCTCTGCTTCTGGAGACCCTTCAAAGCTTTCTATCCTCAGATCCTAGCTCCTCCGCCCCCGCCCCGTTTGCGCCCTCGCTGAGCCTGACCACAGATTCCACCCCCGCCCCATTACCCAGGGGTCCCCCGAATTCCAGCGGAGCCCGGGAGCCCTGAGGAGATGCCATGGTCTCCGCTCCACCGGCGGGGGACTACAAAAGAGTCCGTCAGAGAAACACAGTCCACCTCCTGCCCTAGGACATGAGCTTGGAGACGCGGAGGATCAGCCCGCTGCACAGGCACCTGCTTGGTCCCTGAGCTCGGACTACTACCACTCGAGTCTCTAGGTCTTTAAGTGGACCCACCCCCGGCCCATCCTGGGCCCACACTCCAGCCAATCGGTTTGGGGGGCGGGTCTGACGCGACTGCCTCCCGAGTCACCTCACAACTCCACCCCCAGCCAGCCCCGCCCCCGCAAGCAAGAGGGAGGAGGAGACAACACGTCTTTATTGGCGGATCTTGAGGCCCGAGGGGAAGGGCCAGCGGACGCAGGGACACCAGGGGATTGGGGGGGGGGGTGGTAGGGCGACTGCACTAGCCCATGCATGGCAGCGGCCCGGCCTAGCCACGCTCGCAGATGACCTCGACGACACTGGGTTCCATGGGCACTGGGTCCGGGCAGCGCAGGGCAGCCGAGGCCACCACTTCATCCAACAGCAGGTGCACAAGCTCCTCATCGGCCACGAAGCGCCACAGGTAGAGCTGCAGGAAGTGACAGTCCACCTGCACCTGCTGCAGGCCAAAGCGCCCAAAGGTGCGCAGCCGCACGCACTCGAGCAGCGTCTTCAGGCTGATCTTGATGATGCCAGTCAGCACCGATACCTGCGGGCAAGGGTACAGGAATGCAGCCCTGGGACAGCAGGTGCTGAAGGGGCACTGGGTCCCTGAGGGCACCCACATTCTGGGCAG